TCAACAAAAATCACACTACAGTAGGCCTGTTTCTTGATGTTAAACAAGCTTTTGACTTAGTTTGGCACCAAGGATGAATCCTTTCTAGATGGGTCACAGGTAAAAGGCCATGTCATCACATTTGTTGACTCGCATTCAAAATTTTATTGAACTACTATTTCATGAATTTATGTCAGTAATTTGTTATCAAATTGTAGATTATAATTCAAATTTTACTACTACATATATATTACTCAATTTGTTAATTTAAAAGCAGATATTAAAAAAAATTCAGATAAACATTGATTTTTGTGTGTCATGTGGTATGTTGAATGCAGCACTGGTTCAAATTAAATGTTTGTGAAGTCATAATACAAAGTCCATAGTTTTGTATGAATTAGGAACTCAAACTACCGATATTAACAAGCTAGAATATAAAATAAGAAGTTCTGATTTTTTGAATATGCTAAGATATTGCTCATGTAATAAATCAAACACAGTGGCACTCCGCCCACCTCTTTTCATTTTTGGAAATGCTCCCTTATATACACTTACTTCTATATATATAACATGAATAACCAATTGGCAACTTAGAATTTCCTCCTAGTGGCTTTCTCAGCCATTTTAACGTGGTTAGACTTCATCTCTTTCTTTCAAACCAAGATTTCAAGGATGTAGGTTGTGTCTCTAGTCTGCTCAAAATTTCGTATTTGTTTAGACTAAAATACAGTTAAGTTACTAAGTTTGATAAGTTATAGTGGAATTCTATGGTATTGATATAGTAATTTATGATATTTTGGTTATTCAACTGCATATATAAAACCTAGACAAAAAAAATTTTTGTTTCATATCCTCCGCGTATGAAATTTTAAAAGGCTCGGCAACCTACATCAAGCAGCAACCGAGTACAAAAGTTGTAACTAGAAGAGATAATTGTTTACTTTACTTTTTTATTTACTGTTCTATGTTTTAAGAAAAATAAGTTTAAGAACTTATTTCAAAATAGCAATAACCTATATACATATATAATGTATAATAATTGAAATGTGACTATTTTATAAAATACTAGTTGACTAAAACACAACCAAGACAGGTCACTTTGTAAAGATTAAAGGTCAGTTTTATGTTATTGGATACAGTAACATGAGTGCACGTGTGCCACGTCATTGTAACTTCTGTATTGTTAGATAGGCACAGCTGAAAAGTCAATATAATAAAAATAATATATATATATGTATGTGTGTGTGAGAGAGAGAGAGATAATTTGATGTCATTCTAGAATGAAAGAGGCATAACTTATACTTATTTCCTAATTTTGTATGGTGGTTAAGAGATTCGTTACTCAAAATAACCGATAAAATATAAAGTTGTTTCTTAAGAAATGTTTGATAACTATCTGGACATTATAAAAATTTCGTGTGTGAAATTTGAAAATTTTCTGATGCATAAAAGTATTTTTAATCTTAAAATGAAAATTCTTTGCATGTTGGATGGGCAACATGCGAAAAAAAAAAAAAAAAAAGGCATGAGGAAAATATTGCTTTACAAAC